TTTTAGCTTTTTTAATTTCTGATCTAATCTCCTTCCTAATTTCTCTGACTTTCAAGGTATTCCCTTCAGTAAAAGCTTTATTCCTTTCGTAAATCAGCCTCGTAAGAACTTTAGAGGACCATGGTTTGTTATTAGGGAAAGAATTCACAACCTTTGAGGGAATAATCATGTCTCTACAAAAGGATATATATCCGCAGACAACGTCAGTAAATGTGCAACATTCAAATGCAGTTCATCTAATTTACTCCTCAGAGACTGCACATTAGCAAGGATTGTTGATGGTAAAGGAATACGGTTGTACCGTATTTGCTTCCGCAATCGCTGACGTAGGCCTCCCTTCTTATCCCGCTTCCTTGCTTTGACTCTGTTAAAAACAAAAGTGCCCCTGTGATTACTGGATAATCCAGAGCTGGAAAACACTGGAGGGTGAAAAGAGTCCAAAGACGGGCCTGTCCACCGAAGATCCAGAAGAAACTCCCGTGAGTATGTAATTGTGTGGGAGTAGCACTGACTCCAAACAACCGTCAGGATTGCCAATAAAACCAAGCGAAATAAAAAACCCATCTTCAACAAAAGAAGTTCCACAAAGCACAAGCCGATGCTGTAGGATTTCCTCAGGCAAAAAAAGAAAGAAAAATAAGATAAAATAAAGGAATAAAAAATAAGTTAAGACACTGCGTTTCTCCATACTTGGCCTACCTGGGGTTGAAAGTCTCGACAGGGGCGGATCTAGAAAAATCTTCTTATGGCGGCATGAGGGTGGCAAAGAAATCAAATGGAGGGGAAAAATCAAAGCCTTTTTTTTTCAAAGACATACGCAGGTGGTTGCATATGGTTAAAATGATTCAACTGCAGTAAGTATGCATGTTTCTCATATCAATATAGTCCATTAGTTGATTATTGTCTGTAGCCCACATGATTAAACACTTTAGTTACATAAAACATGTGAGTTTAGATTTTATCTGCTGTATATCCTGTATAATAAATTAATATGTAGCCCAATAGGTATAAAATCCAGAAAGCTACACAACATGGTTCATTTACAAACACAGGTCTAACTTGAGTTTCACACAGTTTTTATTAGAAAACAGTCAAACTGTTAAATGCTTAAAGTACACAAAATGTCAGAAATCTGCACCGTCATGAACACAAATTGAAACCTAATTTTTGGTGAGTTGTTGATTAACCCTCCGAGGTCTAAATCCCACGTTGTGCACATCAACATCACAGATTTGTACAAATAAAGTTCATAACAAAGACATGTTCAATATTAAGCTCTGGAAACAGCTTGGTTGTTTTTGTTTGGAACATGTTGTTTTGTTGCCATAGCGATGCCTCCAGGGAAAAGTTAGGGATTTAAGCATGTTTTGAATGAAAACATCAGCATATGAACACAAAACTGAAGAGACACTGCAACCGTATGAAAGCAGACCACTATTTAGTGACATTTCGACGTTTCCCTGAGGATTAACTGCT